CATCTAGACCCTATCTCTCTGTTTCGCCGGTTTTACTTTCTGAAATACCTTTAAACCAGCTTTGTACACTGTACACTAAGTTTCCTACCACAAATGTCCTATTTTTTATGTCGCTTGCTTGACTTCTACCTATGTTTACACCTTGATCTTGGCGCGTAATAGTCTGGTGAAGGGAAAGAGGGAAAGCCAAAGCCAAAGGAAGAGTATTTTCCCCTGAGTTCTGAAAGCAGAACTGTCCATATCACATGCCTTTCTACCCCTTCCCCAACCACACGACAGGCTGCTAAGAAACAGAGAGTAAAATGGGATTTTAAGAATCTCACTACTTGGAGATTTAGGGTCAATCTGTTCTACGGAAAATGACGACACCGCTGACTCCAGCTAGTCATCTCGAAAATAAACCAAAAATCGACCCCATTGCCATCGAGTCGATTCTGATGTATAGCAGCACTACAAGACAGAATTCAGTGGCAAAGTGATTATTGGGCTGTGATCTGCAAGGTCGGCAGTTTGAAAGCACCAGGTGCTCTGTGGGAGAAAAACAGGGCTTTGTACTCCGGCGAAGAGTTACAGGTCTCAGAAACTCACGGGGCAGGCCGACCTTGTCCTATAGGGCTGCTGTGAACTGGCTTTGACTTGATGTCAGTGAGTTGAGTTCTGAGTTCAGATAAGATAGAAAAGAACTACTTCATAGGATTTCAAGTCTTCCAAGATAAATATTTTTTTTTGTTTTTTTTGTTTTTTTCCCAAGGTAAATCTTTATGGAAGTAGACTGTCATAAATTACCCCAGGGAGCAGTTGGTGAATTTGAATACAGGCTCTTGAAAGCTGACAATTACTAGAAATGGGTAAATGAAAGTTCCTTACCCTAATAATAGAAAGGCAAAAAGGGGTTTCTTGAAATATAAAAGAGAGAGGGTGAGCTTCTACCTTTTGGAAGCAGATTAGTAATATTAGTATATATTTATTGTATCATGAAGAATGGGATTTTTCTTCTTGTGAACAACATATTAAATAATGCCTTAAATGCTTTAACAAGTTTTAACAATTTCTTCAATGTCTTTTAGAAGACTCCTTAATAAAGGCTGTTTTTTTAAAACAATTCAAGATAGGATATTTTTCACACCTAATTAGAACATTAACAGATGGGAACAATTTTAGGTCACTAAATTGTTAAACCTTATTTTAAAATATATAAATTGCTTCTTAGTTCCCAGAGAATGCACAACTATACCAAATTATAATCCCACTTTTAGAGAATGTTTATTCATTCACAATTATGGTAAAGGAAATTCTGACTTCTCTAAATTATTAAGATCTCTCACAAATTGCCTTGGCTAAAAATTAATTTTTAAAGGCCTAATCTACTCTTGAAGCTCTGTGGTGGAAGAATAATTATATTTATGTCAACCAGAACTATAGCAATAAGAGGAATCCTAAAATTGAAATTTTCATCTGCAATTATATCAATGATATTAGTCAAATCAAGTGAAATCAAATATAAGCTTTAGACAGGGTTTTATCATAATAGAAATTATCTGCAGAAATGATTCTTATTTTATCTAATTCATAATGATTGTCCTATTGAGTTTGCTTCCTACCCATAGAAAAAGGAAATAGCTATGAAGAGTGTGGTTCTCCTGACCTCTTAATAACTATTGAATTTTCCCCTGTTTATATCTTCTTTGAAGTAACGTTTAACAAATACCTAACTTATACGGTATGCAATATTTCTAATGAAATATAGGCTTTGGCATTTTATTTTTGTACAGTTTTAGTTTTCTGATTTTAAAAAATAAGCCTATTAAAGATAAATGAAATGAACCACCAGATTTTGTAGAGTTTGGTAAGATTGTAATTATCCTGATTTAAAGCAAAACCAGTATACTAGAGAGTAAAGTTTCTGCATACATCCTTTAATAAGTATCTGTTATAAACACAAGAAGTGGCAAAAAAAATCTCCTTAACAGAACAGAAGATACATGCAGTAACCCCCAAATGGACAACTCCTAGCAGCACCATGAGAATACATTGTCGAAACAGTAGAAAATCTAAATATATTCAGTGCTTAAAAGAATCTGTTTCCCATTAAGGTAATTAAGCTATTATTAAAAATGTATCAGTATAAAAATAGCATCACAAACTATTCATGTTAAGATGTCTGTTCTGAACTCTCAGAAATATGCAAACACCTTGTTTATCAATATATTACTGCAAATAATTGAGGATCTTAAAATTACAGTGAATAAAAAGGAAAAGTTTAAGATTTCATACCAAATTTCAGTATGATATTACAATACAGCATTGGAATACTGCAAAATTAACTTCTTTCAAAGAATTTTATGAACCTTTAAATCTGAAAAAATAAAAATAAATCCTAGTACTTATTATTTGTATGAAATAACAAATTCCAAAATCCATATAGCCCATACTAAGAAGCAAACAATTCCTCCCTGGAATGAAATCAAGTCTTCCCTACTTGAACATGCTAATCTATTAGTATATAGGTGCTCTATTTAACATATAGTTAATCTAAGACTATGGACTCAAATGACGACCCTAAAAACACTTCAGTAGCCGAAGAGCATACATTTTGCTCAGTCCTAAAAGAATATTATCATTTTGGTTAAAAAGTATTTCTTTTTCATAAAGAAATGGTAATTTACATAAAATTTCATAGCACTTCCCCAAAGACATTAGTTTTAAAAAATCATGATATAGTTTACTACATAACAAATTTTTAAATCTTTAAAGCAATTAATTATCTAGGTATACTAAAAAGGCATTTACTTCTTGAAAAGTATTCAGTGAGGCTGTTTTTGCATAGTTTAACATGGACATAAACAGTATTAGCACTTGAGCAGCTCATACATTAAAAAATTTTGTTTAAATTAGTTCAACAGTAAAATTAAAATTCAAAAGAAGTAGTGTGAGTGACTCAAAAGAATGAAAAAATCTATATCATCACTGAATCAGGTAGGATATATACTGCTTACTACCTTAGTGTACAGATTTTTAAAAATCTCAACTGTAATAAAATTATGAATGGCATTTTTGCCTGGGACCTGCTTCAATACAATGAGGAATGCGCGGGGTGGGCTGGAGAGGGCATGGAACTGCCTGTGCTTTCATAACAGTGGAAGGTGGTAAGAAATTCACGGGAATCCATCGTCGTGTCATCTCACACACACTTAGAAAATGTATGAACTAAGATGCCATAAATTAATAAAAAAATTCCTAATCTCTGAGCTTAAGTAAAGCTTTTACGATAAGGTTTATGAAGAGCAAGAAGCAAACTATAACTACACATATTACTAAAATTTCAGAACCTGCCTTGGCGTATCATTAGCCAATTGATAAGATTTAAGGATGCAACGTAAATTTGAAGGAGAGCATCAGCTTCTGCATCGCTCTTACTATAGCCACCTCTTAACCGAGTTGACTATCATTGTTTCCTATGTCCCCCAATCCATAATGAAAAACACTTGGAAAATTTAAGGTACAGGAAGTAGCTAAAAAAGCTTTTACGAATTTTAAATACAAGTTATTTCTAAATGCTAGTTATCAGCACAAATGGCACGCTTAAATATTAGCTAAATAAATCAAGTATAAAATTATGTTTAGTTCAGTTAACTCTATTAAATGGATTTGTTAATATAGGAAGAAAAGCTTCCATTAAATCACAAATAAAATCTTTTTAAAAATAGCACAGCAATAAGATTGCTCTTTAAATGTAATTGCATACTGAAAAGACCTCATCTTGAACAAATCTCTATGAACAGATTGCCTTCAGAACCAAGGAATGAAAAATTTTCAAGTGTTCTGTCATCTTTATAAGCATATACAAAGAACATGCTTCTACTGTAATAGCTACAGCAAGAAATCTTGAACTTCAAAATACAGCTACTGTCTCATGGAAAATAATTAGCATTTTTAACAGCTAAATCAAATCACCTCAGTCAAGTAAATTTCTCCTGTTCACCCTTTAAAAGAAAACAAAGCTATTGGACTTACTCATCCTTATTCCTCAACCTGACCAAAAGGTCTTCCAAATCTCCCATGTCTTTCTTTAAGTCATCTGATATATTTAATTCTCTGCCTCAAAGAACCAACAAATTCAATCAAAATGAAATTTCTTATGAAAAGGAGGCTATCGTCATAATTCTTCTTAATATACTCACTCACTTGATTGTTTTTAACTGGTTCCCAAAAAGAGATGCACAACAAAAGGTAGACAACTTTCTTGATTTTAACTAGAATACCTAATCAAAAGTATCCAAGAGGACCAAAAAATAAAAGAAAAAAAAAGTGAGAGGTTTAAGACAGATGATTAATAAGTATTTGCAATACTGCCTTTATAACCCGTTTATGCTTAAAATATTAATAACTAATAGATTTTGTTTGGGACATATCTAGGGTCGTTTATATTTTAAAACATTTAATTCTTTCAAATTTCAAAAATATAAGAAGATTTACCTCTTGTTAGATTATGCACCAAAACAAATCCAATAGTGACATTGATAGGTTCATGCTACAAATTACCCAATAATCTGATTTATTCTGTGAAACTTTGAGTGAGAACATGTCCACTGTTATGGTAAAAGCTGAACTTTAGAGTGGAAGGTCTATTAAAAACAAAAATATTATAGCTTTTAAAACAAATACATGAAAATGGACAACAGATGAAGCTCTATGTTTTTAAAAAAAAGGCAGAAATGATTCACAAAAATACTTGTTTGACTAAAAAGAGGTTTGTACTGAAAACCATCTTCAATGTGTCTTTTTTCACATAAAAAAAGTTCACTCCAGTTCATCCAGGCAACTATACAAGTGCACTGTAAATTAGGGAACTTTTTCTATCTTTCTTGCCCAAGGGTAACAGAAAAAAGTTTGATCTGGAATTTTCTCCTAAGGTTGTAACTTGCAAGATTTATCTGAAAACAAGTACGTTTCCATAGTTACACATTTACTTAATCATGATGGTGGAATTGAATCTGTACCTATGTGAAAATGGCAATGCATTCTGAGTTGGTTCAGCCCTTGGCTCTGAGTTCTGAGTCACGTCAGGTGTTCTTTCATCATCCGTCCCATTGATACTTTCTGGTGTCAAAGGAGACTGAAGATCCCCTCCTGCTGATTCCTTTAAAAAAAAATGGGGGGGAGGGGGTTATGCTTTTGTTAAATTACATGGCATCATCTGAACGTGAAAATGGACTCTGAAGTATGATTACAAACTATATTGTAATAGACATTTTAGTCAAAAGTTTAAAAAACAAGCTTTGACAGGGAAACGTTTTGAAGCAAAGCAAGTCATAATAACGAAAAAGTAACAATTTTCAAATGTTGTTTCAAAGGACTGAAAACTGCTGGGTCAGAAGAATTATTTCAGCAGAAAACGATGGTGGCAAGCATGCAGGAAACAGCAGACAGATCCTAGGAGGGGAATGAAGGGAGGAGGTCAAAGGGGAGAATGAACTGTGCAGCAAGTTTGAATTTTCTTATCTGACCCACTTATCCATTCCTACAGAGCTATTTAGAAAAGGCCTCTGTAACACATACAAATTGAAGTTTATACACTTCAGCTTTTCTGTTCATAATAGAATTTTTTTTTTCACAAAAGCTCTTATCTTCTTTCTACTCTTAAAATATGTATTTTAAGGGAAACTTAATTTGTCACCCTGAAAAGTTCGTTAAAATGAAGTTCGAGCTGGCACTTATTTTGTCAACATTTGGCATCAGAAATTGGAAATGAGAGGTCATTTGATAAAATATGAACTGGGGGAGGCCTAGCACAACAGACTGTTAAAGAGCAGCTTGCTGTCTGTCTCATGAGTACAGGGCACTAATAATCTACAGTTAAAATATGAAACTATGTTAGGGGAGAAAAGAAATACCTAAGTATCTAACTGAGCAGTGTATACTAAGTATGGCTTATTATTTAGCAACTTAAAAGAACTCAAGATTGCCTTGAACAAAAACAGGATAAATATATACAATACTGGAAAATGAGTAGCATTATTTTTAAAATATGAAAGTATAACACAGTGTCTGTTGTTTCTAACTGCTACCAAGTTGACTCTGTGCATTGTGGAAGGAACAAGGACAGTTTTGATCTGTAAGATTTTCATTGGCTTATTTTCAGAAATAGACACCAGGCCTTTCTCTTCCTAGTCCGTTTTAGTCTGGAAGCTCTGCTGTCACCTGTTCAGCATCAAAACAACAAACCTTCATTGGCAGAAGGGCAGTGCTTGAGGTGTACTGGCACCTTACGGTGAGACTTCAACCACTGAACTACCTGTCCTCATAAGTGAGTATACCTAGGTTATCCTTAGTTTACACACTATGA